AGTTAAAAAAGAGCTAACAGAGGGGGCGGTCAGACGGGGGGAAACATCCCCTCTCTTCAGCGAGCCCAGCGAAGAAGTAGTGGCACGAGGAGAGTCTCGTAGCCGGTTCTAGAGACAGGATCTGTCTCCTGACCCATTCACACAGCGAGGGAAGATATAGATGAGGCGGAGACCCTAATTGAGATCGATGAAGCTGAATCTGCCAAACCAAATTGGCAAGTCACTTCGTATCATCAGGCCAATATTTCTTACCGCAGCATCAGAGACAACAAGGGTGCCGTATAGCATTGGCAAGCGAGCAAAATAGTCAGGATCTGGGGAGACATAGTGCCCTGGAGACACACGCAGGGTCCGCAGCAGTGTCAGTGGAGGCAAACTGAATAACGGCCACGGCGAGTAAGCACCAGCTCCACTGCAGCCTAAACCAACCACGGTCCAGTAGTGGTGCGTGTGACGGACACGAAGTAGCAGTCAGCCATTTTCCACTTCAAGTCTCCCACAACTGCTGGTGGGTTCAAATTTGTCCCTAGGGTTGCTGGCAGAAATTGCAAATCGGTCCGGTCACAGCAATTTTTCTGCTGCCAGCCCCTAATCTGCCAAATCGGGCCCCTATATAAACGCGTAACTCATGCTGCTTGCCAAGTCCAGAGTCTCCATGCTGTTCCGGTACAGATACGTCCACCATTGCTGCTAGTCTCCATCGCCGACAACTCTCCATGTGCCCACTTTCAGGTCTCCTCACACACTGCTGCCAAGTGTCAAGCAATTTTTTGACATAAGGTAGCTGGCATACTACACGGCTCCTAAAGCAGCTTGCCGGCCCCTCATCTGCCTGCCCACTAATAGCACAACCGCAAATTCCTCATAGCTCGCCAGGTCACAGAGCTGCTGCATGGTCCCGTTACAGTGCGCCTTCCACCTGGTGTCATGCTGTCCCTGTACCGCCAGATACAGCCGCTCTGCCATTGTGCTGCAGGGGAGTTGTCAGCCTCGTGTGCAACTCCTCACACTACGTCAAACGGATGTATCCAGGCACCTGTCATATGTCATCTGCCCATGGCCCTAATCTGGGATGTGGCAGGATTACGGCTCCTCATAGCTGCTGAGCCAAGTTAAGTGGCTGCGTCATACGAGTGCTGGAGCATTACGGGCCTCCCATAGCTGCTCGCCATCGTCCAGAGATCCTGCCATGGCTCCCTATCATACCCGCCTCCTCATGCTCGCTGCGAGGTGATTCTCTCATTGGTCCTCCATTGCTGCTGTCGTCCATCGCCACAGCCATGCTGCTCATATTACAGGTCTCCTCACACACTGCTGGTGTGTTTTAGCCCGAATTTTTTTGATCATAGGGTGCGGTGCAGAACGGACCTCCCATAGCTGCTGCCAGGCCCCTAATCTGCCATCGGGCCCCTATATACCGGCCTTCCTCATGCTGCTTGCCAGAGGGTCCAGAGTTGGTCTCATGGGTCCCTGTACGCGCCTCCCATTGCTGCTGTCTCCATCGCCACACTCTGCCATGTGCCACTTTCAGGTCTCCTCACACACTCGGCTGTGTTTTCCATTTTTTTGTCATAGGGTGCTGGCAGATTACGGGCCTCCCATAGCTGCTGCCAGGCCCCGTAATCTGCCATGGGCCCCTATAGCTGCCAGGCCTCCTAACGCGCATCGCTGCTGCCAGGATCCAGAGTGTCTCATCATGGTGTCCCTGTACGGCCTCCATTGCTAGCTGTCTCCATCGCCACACTCTCTGCCATTGTGCCACTTTCAGGTCTCCTCACACTACTGCAGGTGGTTCGCATTTTTTGACATAGGGGTGCTGGCAGATTACGGGCCTCCTAATAGCTGCTGCCAGGCCCCTAATCTTGCCCATGGGCCCCTATAACCGCCTCCTCATGCTTTCCTGCCAGGTCCAGTGAGTCTGCTCATTGGCTCCCCTGTAAACGGCCTCCCCATTGCTGCTGCCGCCCGATCGATACACACTTGCCATGTGCCACTTTCATGTCTCCTCACACTGCTGGTGTGTTCCATTTTTTTGTCATGTTAGGGTGCTGGCAGATTACGGGCCCTCCATAGCTGCTGCCAGGCCCCATAATCTGCCAATGGCCCCTATACCGCCTCCTCATGCTGCTGCCAGGTCCAGGGTCGAACAGTAGTCACAGGTCATCGGTTACCTCTCTCATTGTGTACGGCCAACCGCCAGAAATCGACTGGCTGTCTCCCCACAAACTGAAAATGTGCCCACTTTCATGTTGACCGACACGGAAAGAACATGGTGTCTGTGTCTGCAGTCAAAGAAAGTTGTGCCATGCGCCATGCATGGGCTCACGTGTTCAATCTGGTTGCCATAGCGTGTTCCTAAAATCCACCATCCCACTGCAGCTTCCTTAAAATGTCACGTAACCGCCTCCCCATGCATGCTTTCATGTCCAGGTCCCTACACTCGTCCAAAGCACACCCTCAGGTCTTGAGCTGCAGCGTGTTCCATTTTTTGGAATTCCACAGCATGTGCTCGCCAGATCTGCGACGTTGCAAGCAAGCGTGGAATTCACCCTACACATGGTAGACCGCCCCATGCCTTTACGAACAGCGTAAGGGCCATCCCGATTGCTGCGGTCTGCCAAGCGAGGATACCAGATGTACTCCCATGTGTAACTTCGATGTCAGCCATCTGGCAGCTGTGCGTTGACACCTGCCGCTTGCTCTGGCCCTTTTGAGGAGGCCACGCTATTCGTGAGTCGCAGGACTATGGATGAACGGACGTCATTCCTCTTGTTTGCACGTCCTATGGAACAAATGCTGTTAACACCTGGCTGGTCAGGGTGCGGTAAGGACGTGGCGCACAGATCTCAACGCCACATGACCCCTGTGGGGGCAGGACAGGCACAGAACGGAGGAGGAGTGTAGAATAGAGAGGACATTTGTGCAGGTCTCCTATCAATTATTGAGTGAAATGGTGGTTTTTTCCACTCAGGGCTGGCAGAGTGGAGGAGCAGGCCATCTGGTAGGAGGAGGAGGAGGAGACTAGGACCCAGACGCACCGTGGCAGTATGCTGTGGAGATGGAGCTGCAGGGAGTCCCTCGCATTCCTTGGCACAAATGCCCATTGCATGCTCGGTTGCTTGCGTAGCGACAGCCATGAATAATAACCATCAGACAGAGGGATGACTTTTGGCTGTCCACCTAGTTGGACCCTCGCTACGTTCAAAAAAATGGTCCCTTTTCACACCTGCTGAGAGGGAGGCCAAAATAAGTACTATAAAAACCCTATGTAGTCAGTTGGTCTCTGCCATGTGCGCGGCAACGTCCCATCCTCAGACACTGTGGGCCCTGTGCGCCATGCGTTCCGCTGCGTCATGGCAGCAAAGAGGGGTGGGTGGTAGGAGCAGTGGCATTCCAGCAGCGCTGCCTCAGTCTGCAGTCGATGATGAGTAGCTTTCTTCACCAGCGCAGTGAGGAAACTTACTAACCAGCCGCAGCAGCAGCAGCATCAGGTGGACCAGGAGCAGGACCTCAAACAACAGGCTTGGGCCTACTTGGACAGCACCCTGCCAACCCGAGGTAGACAATATCCCCTTGACTACTGGGCAACGGAAACTTGACCTTTGTCCCCACAACTAGCTGAATTTGCCCTTGAAAGGCTGTCATGCCCGGCCAGTAGCGTGGCATCGGAGCGCATTGCGTTTAGTGCGGCAGGAGGTATTGTAACTCCGCGGAGGACACGACTGTCCCACCCAAAGTTGTGGAGAGACTCTCGTTTGTGCCAAAAATGAATCAGGCGTGAGATTAGTCCTTGGCCCTTTCAAACCACCAGTTTCCTGACACAACTGACTAAATCACGCCATGAATCATGCCCCTGCCATGTGCCACTTTCAGGTCTCCTCACACTGCTGGTGTGTTCAATTTTTTGTCATAGGTGCTGGCAGATTACGGGCCTCCCATAGCTGCTGCCAGGCCCCTAATCTGCCATGGCCCCTGTATATTACGCCTCCTCATGCTGCTGAGGCGCCAGGGAGGTCCAGAGTCTCTCATGGGTCCCTGTACGGCCTCCCATTGCTGCTGTCCTCCATCGCCACACTCTGCCATGTGCCACTTTCAGGTCCCCCTCACACACTGCTGGTGTGTTTACATTTTTTGTCATAGGGTGCTGGCAGATTACGGGCCTCCCATAGCTGCTGCCAGGCCCTAATCTGCCATGGGCCCCTGTACCGCCTCCTCATGCTGCTGCCAGGTCCACAGTGTCTCATGGGGTCCCTGTCTACAGGCCTCCCATTGCTGCTGTCTCCATCGCCACACTCTGCCATGTGCCACTTTCAGGTCTCCTCACACCTGCTGGTGTTTTTTGTCATAGGGGCTGGCAGATTACGGGCCTCCCCATAGCTGCTGCCAGGCCCCTAATCTGCCATGGGCCCCTATACCGCCTCCTCATGCTTGCTGCCAGGTCCAGAGTCTCTCATGGGTCCCTGTACGGCCTCCCATTGCTGCTGTCTCCATCGCCACACTCTGCCATGTGCCACTTTCAGGTCTCCTCACACTGCTGGTGTGTTCCATTTTTTTGTCATAGGGTGCTGGCAGATTACGGGCCTCCCATTGCTGCTGCCAGGCCCGTAATCTGCCATGGGCCCCAGTACCGCCTCCTCATGCTGCTGCCAGGTCCAGTGTCTCTCATGGGTCCCTGTACGGCCTCCCATTGCTGCTGTCTCCATCGCCACACTCTGCCATGTGCCACTTTCAGGTCTCCTCACACTGCTGGTGTGTTCCATTTTTTGTCATAGGGTGCTGGCAGATTACGGGCCTCCCATAGCTGCTGCCAGGCCCCTAATCTGCCATGGGCCCCTATACCGCCTCCTCATGCTTGCTGCCAGGTCCAGAGTCTCTCATGGGTCCCTGTACGGCCTCCCATTGCTGCTGTCTCCATCGCCACACTCTGCCATGTGCCCACTTTCAGGTCTACCTTCCTCACACTGCTGGTGTGTTCCATTTTTTGTCATAGGGTGCTGCAGATTACGGGCCTCCCATTGCTGCTAGCCAGGCCCCGTAATCTGCCATGGGCCCCCCCGTAACCGCCTCCTACATGCTGCTGCCAGGTCCAGAGTCCTCTCATGGGTCCCTGTAACGGCCACTCCCATTGCTGCGCTGTCTCCATCGCCACAGAAAACCACTCTGAGCCATGTGCCACTTTCAGGTCTCCTCACACTGCTGGACGTGAGTGTTCCAATTTTGTCAAGGGTGCTGGCAGATTTACGGGCCTCCCATTGCTGCTCGCGCCAGTCCCGTTAATCTGCCATGGGCCCCCAGTACCGCCTCCTCATGCTGCTTGCTGTCTCATACGCCACAC